ATCGAGGCAGGAGTTACACTACAGCTCTTACATACGTTCTCCCTCTTGGTCTTTAGGAGACCCCCGTGAAGAAAGCATCGTCAGCTCCATCTTCTACAGGTGAAGGCAGAACCTGAGCATCAAGGTTAGGGGACCTGCCGAAGGTCACCCCCCACAAGGTGACCTGAACTGTCCTGAGCAAAAGCCCAGGTTCCTTGCACTGCCCCCCACTGTCTCCAGGATGTGCAGTGGACACAATATGGGAGGGGACAGAGGCAGTGAAGGAAGAGGTGTCAGAAGTGACACCGGGGGGGCTGGTTCTAGTGCATGAGGGGTGACACAGGGCTGGGAGAGAGAAACTCCAAATTAAACAGACAGTTTTTTGAGGTTTCACAATCCAGAGAAAGATGTTCCAGCTGCCTGCTGCAAAGCCCTTCTCTCTGGCCCGTTGAACTCATAAGGCAGTCTTCGTGTGCTCAACACCCCCGAGAAATCTGCATTTGAGAAACTCTGAGAGTGGCTTGATTCTTTCCTCGCCATGGTTGGAGTGCAGGAGCAGAATCATCAAGGCGAGAAAGTGGGTGTGAGAGGTGTCCTTAGACAGAGCTGCAAGCCATGGATCGTGCCCTTTGAATAGGCTCTCTTTTTCTGTTTGTTTGTTTTTTAAATAAATGGACTGCTCACAGAGAGCAGAATGGGTTGCTTGGGGGGCTTACACATTAGACTTAGCCAGGAAGCCAGCAGGTACTTCTGGGGCATTTGTTACTGTACATGATGTGCCAGAGAGCTTGACTCCCTGTCCTCAGAGTGACACGTGGGAAAAGGAGGGAAGTGTGGGTGCCTGTGGGAGTGTGTGGCAGAGGGACTTGAGCTCTGGGTGTCAGAGAAAGGAAGGGAAATGCAGGCTGAAACCTAAAGGACCAGGACACGGAGGTCCCAGGGATGCGAAACAGGCACAGAGACCTGGCTGGGCCTCTCTCTGGGGCGTCACCTACCAGCAGCTCTGGGGGAAAGATGGGCTCCTGGGTGGGATCCAGGGGCGTGAACTCCTCTGGGTTGAATAAAGATGGCAAGAGAGTGACCTGGGGGAAAAGGGAACAGATGGGTGATACAATATCCCCTCCTTTAAGGTGCCCTGGAGGACCAGTGCAGCCCTTCATCCAAGAGAGCTCGTTTGCACCCCCAGCAGGCTGGTGGAGGGGCAGGCAGCTCCTGGAAGGCAGGAACAAGAAGGTCTTCTCAGAGGACCCAGGGCTGATGTGCACATTCACTGCCCTCATAGTCTCGGCATAACCGTTTCCTCTTTCAGCCACCAACACCAGGAGTAGGAGAGAGCCCACAGGCTCCTTTGATCTGAGATTGGCCCCCAGGCTTCCAGCGAGAGAAGGACCCCCTTACCGTGCGGTCTTTCTTCTGGTTCATGCAGCACTTGGGGTTGTCCCCATCTCCTCCACAGCACCCACCATCCTAGAGAGATGACCAACATTCACACAAAAATATTTGCAAAGAGTTTTCACAGGAGTTAAAGAACCTAGATTATTAATATCCAATGAACTCGAGCTCTGACAACTATGCGACCATCAACAGGAATAGCAGAGACCCCCACCCTATCCCACTTGCCTCTGCTTTGACTAGTTTCTCTTGCTTAGTTAATGTAGACTAAATAACTCATGATAAACAAATAGGATTTCTCCTGAAAGCAAAAGGGAAATTTACCTTTAAGGAAATTTCTCTATAAAAGCTAGGTCCTACTTTATCAAAACATCTTCAGACCCATTTACTCTCTTCAGTGCTGCTTCCTTAGGAAGCCTCTGAGAGAAATTCCCATTGGTTCTCTCAGCACTCCAGAGCTCTACTTCTAGATCAGGCAAGTGCTATGGGGCCTGGGTGGGGGACTCTCAGGCTGAGGTCTTTGTGGGTTCCTGCCAAGGATGTCCAAGAGCAGTGTTGGGTCCAGAGATGTGTCCAGCCAGTGTGCCTGATGGCCTCACCAGTACTTGTTAGGCACTTCTTGCCATAGCCTTGGAGAATCTAAAAGCACTATCAGACTTGGCTTCTGGAGAGAAACCCTCCCTTGCCTCAACCCCCTGCACATGCTGCCCTGCGTGCAGACCCCTCCCGCATTCAATGCTTTGACATTGGATCTCAGAGCTGCTCTATTTTGGACCTTCCATCACCTTGCTCTTCTCCTCCATATTTAAACAAAAAGGCATAAAGAAAGAGGACTTCCCATAGTGCTTCTTTTGGTCTTTCTTCTTGGAGAAGGAGTGTTGCCGGGGGCCCTAAGTGAAGAGAGGGGAATCTATACACAGTAAGGCATCAGCCTCACTCACCACGTCCTTGTGGGGAAGGATATATTTGACAGAAGTGCATTTTCCAGATAATTAAAGTGCCAGTACATTATTACGTAGATTTTTTTCTTGATAATTCATTGATGTGTTCATGACATAAATTATTGTGTTGTACAGTAATGGGTCACTGCTCTCTAGGTCTACTGAGGCTGAATAATGCCTTTTTTTCCCCAGAGAGATGTCTACTTTTCTCAATGACTGCTGAGTTTGTGCTTATTTTTATGGTTCCTCCACTTCCTTCCTTGCTGCTAGATGGTCATTGTCATTTCTTGCTGGAACAGTGTGCCTCCCTCTAGCAGACCCTCCTTACCCTTTTCTAGAGTGTGCTATGGCCATGAAAACTGGAGAATCAAGTTAGTTAGAACCGTGTATAAAGTAAGAGTTAAAAGACTCTGAATGAAGGCCTTGGGGGCCTCCAATGAACAATGTGCATGAGTTCTGAGCACACCCTGTGTGCTAGTCAGTTTGGCTGCTCAGAGCACCCCGCTCAGCTCTGCTCTGCTCTGCTCTGCCAGCTGGACTGAGTGGGGTGCTGCGTTACAGAGGAATCAGGAACCATCTCAATGACAATAAAACTCCAACCTGGGAAGAACCATAATTGTCAGCTACACTCAAAAGCCCTTCCCTTTTGAGAAACTAGGAGCGTTGGTTACACTGTACCTCTTTGAGAAGCCTCCTGTGAAATGAATACATGGGTGAGATTAACAATCCCTGGTTCTCAGGGAAGCCTGAGCGATTTATGAAGATCAAATATTGAGTAATGAAAGACATGCATCAGCATCATAATTTATAGTTGCCATTTATTTAATACTTAAGATGTGCCAGGCATTGTTCTAAGAGCTTTACAAGAAGTACTTTCCACAAACACTATAAGGTAGGTATTATTATAATCCCCATTTTAGAAACGAGGAGATTTGCCCGAAGTCATGCATCGATTAAGTGATGGAATGGGATTTGAACCCAGGTCTGCAGAGTCTGAATCTGAGCTTTCAATCATTTCCATTTAAATCCACACCTCCTTGTTCCTCATCATCAACAGCACTCAGGGTGTGGGGTTTTCCATCCTCATGGGCCCATCTCCATCTCCACCCCTGCTGAGCTATTTGGATGAAACACTCCTTTTTGTAATGTGCCCACCCTAAAGGTCAGTGGAAAGCACAGGAGTCGGTCACTGTCCCCTCAACCCTGAATCAAATGGAGAGGGGACGGTTGATTGCAGTCAGGATCAACTTGACCCAGTCAGGGAATCAGTGAAATCTGGGCAGATTAAGCCAAGAAAGGAGAGGCCAGCCCTCTGTCCTCCCTGCCAGATGGCAGGTGTGTGTCTGTGTCTGATTAATCAATGTTCGCAGATCCGGCTGTGGTTTCTCACTCAGAGTTATATGAACACTGCGGGGGTTCACGAACTGTCTGGAGATCTAATTAGCAGCTTCACAGGCTCAGCAGAGTGCCAACTGCAGAAAGCAGCTGGGAGAGGAAGGGAGGTGGGGCGCAGGTGCTGAGTCAGACCGGGTTGTTATTAAATGCCACCATCAGCACCTGTGCCGTGGCTGAGCATGACAGTCTCCAAGGGAAGCTGCCAAGCCCGACTGCCCTGGAGGAAGTTAGCTCTGGGGCAGCATGCCTCTTCCAGGACCAGCTTTCCAGGCCTTCCCAGGAAGGGAAGTCCCCATGCTGTTGATGAGAACCCCTCCCTGAATAAGAACTGCAGGGTCCACGGCCCATGCCAGGTGTCTGCAGCTGGAGGGCCCGCCAGCTGGCGATCTTATCTTTCTTCTCCGTAATCCAGAGGCCCTTGGCATCCCTCCCAACTGCGGTTGCTGAGTGTTGCTGCAACAGGAGCAGGGCCACAGCTGTCCCGGGGCCCCCACTTACCCTGGCGAAGGTCCGTAAACCCTGGAGGATGGGTCTGTAGCCTGTGCAGCGGCACAGGTTCCCTGTGGGACAAAGACAAATCCGCGGTGTCAGCACAGGTCCCGGGGCAGGTGAGGGCTTTGTGGCTTTGCTCCCAGCTCGGTTAGATACTCTCTTTGCACGTTCTGTTGTCTCTACCTATAATGCTTGTCTTCCTCCTTGTGTTCCTGACTTCAAAACATCTAACTCGTCTTCCAGGAAGCCTTCCTAGAATGCCCAGACTGAATCAAGTGTCCCTCCTACAAGCTCCCATGGCGCCTACTCATAGCTTTATTAGTGAGCTTATCAAACTATATTGTCTTCCTCCTCAGCATGTGGACTCATTGAGACTAGGACAGTGTCTTTCATCCCTTTGTCCCTTGTACACTCTACAGTGCCTAACATGTGGTAGGACTCAATATAACTGATTGAATAAATGATGGGTTGAATGGTGAATGGAGGGGTATCCTTCTCTACTCAATTCAGAGGAACAGACACCTTGTCCAGACTTCTGGGCCCATTCACAGAAGGCAAAGTGGGGAGCCAGTCTCTGCCCAAGGTCAGAATCATGGCCACCTTCCTCATATGTGGCCTTTGCCCTGCAGAGTCCTGTTGTGGTGAAAGCTGAGAGGGAAGGAAGCCATGTCACTAGCTTCTGTGGAGTTTTCCAAATGGTCTCCTCCCATGCCAGGCACCCACTGCCACCACATCTCAGTGTGGGTGGACGGTAGGAAGACACCTCAGGAAGACAAACACTAAAGCAGGAGACCCCAGGAGGTCTCCAAACCACCCAAGTGTTCCAAGAGAGGGCCAACCTTCCAGTAGATCATAGCCGCCACGTTGGGGTGGCCTGAGCCTTTCCTCCAGGGGGCAGCGCCTCGAATTCCTAGCCCTCTCCCGGCATCCACTCCCCCTGCCCTGACCTCTGCAGAGCCCCCTTTGCCATCCCACCTCCCCGGCTGTGCCTCGAGGCCCGTACCTTGGAGGGCATCCTCGATCTCCTCGATGGTGGGCTCGGGCTGGTTCCGGAGCAGTGTGTACATGCTCATGACGATGCCAGGCGTGCAGAACCCGCACTGGGACCCGTGGCTTTTGGCAATTCTCTCCTAAAAGGGACAGATGACATGGACATTTGTGTTGGCAAAACCCCTTCTGGGCTCCCTACATGGCTGAACTGCAGTCAGCCCATGTTGACAGACAGTGTGGAGTAGCAGTCACTCCACCAAGTCAAACCCTGGTGCCACCTCTCAGCATCTGTGACCTTGGCCAGGTTACCAAGCCTCTCTGAGCCATAGGTTCCTTGTCTGTATGATGAGGACCGTCCTAATATTTACCTCTAGAGCTGTGGCAAAGATTCAACGAGATAATTCACGTAAAACTCCTGACATTACACCCGGCATGTCGTTATGGTCAACTAGTGTCAGTTATTAGTAGCAAAGCTCCTTCAAGGAATAGCAATGACTACAGCCAGAAGGAGCTGCTCGCCCATCCTTGAGCAGAGGAGGGAGCAGCCCCAGAGATTTAAGAGAGTTGTCCAAGTGGAAGACCTGTGTCCTGCTCTTGTAATTACACTATCCCACAATCCAACCCAACCAGCATTTATTAACAACCACCTGAATACATTTTATTCCAAACAGAGTACCATTGTATTCTTAAGTGAAGGAAGCCCTTGACATCCACTGTGGACATAAGAATTGGGAAATGTGTCATAGAGAATTTGCTATATGCATTGACTGTCACAGAATTGGCATTCAAACCTGCAAGATTTTATCACAAGGAGATTCTCCATGTTCATTTTTTTTTTCTGCCTTTTGAGAGTCTCTCTTGGTACTTACGTTAGGTGAAATTGCTAGACTATTGTATCCCCAGTGCCTAGTATGTATAGTCATTCATTTTATAAATATTGACTGAGAACCTGTTATGTGCCAGACATGATAGAGGCCGTGGGCACAGAGCAGTGAAGGGAGACAAGGTCCCTGGTCTCACGAAGCTCATGTCCTAGTAGGGGCGATACTGACAAAAACAAACAAGAAAACGCCACGTGGAAGTCAGTGCTATGTAGAGAATTAGTACCAGATGACATGACCCAGAGTGACTAGTGGCTGCTTGGAGTGGTCAGAAATGGACGCTCTGGAAAGGTGACCTTTAAGTTAAATTTAATAACATGATTTGGATCAGGGACGAGTGTATTCCAGGAAGAAGAAACAGCAGATGCAAAGACGTTGAGTACAGCAAATACAAAAGCCTAGATTGCTGGAGTTGCTGAAAGGAACCCACTGGGACAAGAGAATTGGGCCGGGGGAACAGGCAGCAGCCAGATCATGCAGCTCTTCATACGCCAGGGTAGGGATCTGGATTTTTATTCTAGGTGTGACGGGAAGCCATTAGGGGATTTTCAGCAGGACATGATATGATCTAATTTGTGTTTTTAAAGAAACACTCTAGCTGTTGGGTGGAACAGGGTTGTAGGGGGCAAGAGTAGAAACAGGAGACCAGGACACTATAGTGGTCATGGCAGGAGGGGGTGGTGGCCCCGCCCAAGCAGCAATAGGGGAAATGGCAGGAAAATGAAGGTTTCATGGCAGGTTTTGGAGGTAGAGTAGACAATACTGGATGGACCGGGTGTGGCATATGAAAGAAAGAATCATAGGTGACTCCTAGATTCTTGTCTTGAGCAATTGGGTGGATGCTTTTGCCATTAACTCAGATGGAGGAAGACTGAGGAAGAAAATTAGGGGAAAAATAGGGTTTTGTGAAGTTTAAGATTAGACATCCATATAGTGATGTCAAGTAAGAGTTGGAAATAATGAATCTAACCTCCGAGAAGCAGTCAAAGCTGAAGATACAAATGTGAGTGCCATTTGCATGTAGATAGTATTAAACTCACCTAGGAGGAGTCTGAAGGTGGAGAAGGGCAAGGGCCCAGGCCAGAGGGCACTGTAGCAATTAAGGATTGAGCAGAGGAGGAGGCAGCACATGCTGTGAACATAGAGATAGGAGGAAAATGAAAACCTAGTGTCACAGAAACTTAGAGAAAAGAAATAAATAGACAAGGAGAAGTGAATCTGGCTCTATAGTTTATCTGGAGCCAAAATAAGTACATCAAGCATAAGGATCTGTACCATTGGAAAGGGATTGTTTTAGCCTGATGATATGGATATGATCCCAGTGTTTAAACTGTTCACTCTTTCTTTCATCTATTTGCCTCAAAGAAAATTACAAGCCCCGGACGGTGTCAATATGGCAGCATAGGCAGACTCTGAACTCACTTCCTCCCACCGACACAACAAATTTACAACTATTTTTGGAACAATTACCCCTAAGAGAGAACTTAAAACTGGGTAAAAAGAACCGCTACAACAAGGGATGGTGCTGACTGAGGTGGAAGAGGCAGAAATTCCTTTCTGGAGAGAAAGAAGCCACCTTCTAGCTGGAGGGCTTCATGGCCAGCTGGAGGAACCTTAAGGCACGAAGCCTTCCCTGGAGGAGTAGGGGATCTGAGCAGGGGAGCGTTACCACAATAAGCGGCTTTTGGACTCAGCACAACTAAGACAAGAGTCATAATAACTGGCTTTGCTGGCTATTAACAACAATGGGGAATACCTCCAGAAAAGCTATCAGACATAACAGAAAAAAAAGCCTGTTTTTAAAGGTCCCATGCACAAATTCACCTGTTTCAGAAAGCAAACTAAAATCACCAGAAAGAAAGGTGCACAGTCCTGTGGTGAAAAGAGACTCACCTGATAGCTCTGGGTGCATCTCAGTGAGAGGTGAGACCTACCCAGAGACTGAGACATTTGTGGCAGCCATTATTGTGACCTGGTACAGGCGTGCTGACAAAGACACTGGCAGACACCACTGAAGTTCTTCCCCTGCTCTGTTAGCCCAGGGTCTGCCCCTGACCCCCCAACTAGAGCACCAATTTAATCCAGTTTAGTCAGGGCAGGCAGCCTGCCCTAAGTTCTGGACTGACACAACAGCAAGCCTTGGGCAACTTGTGGGCCCGCATATGTGGGGTGCCTGGAACCTTTGTAGCCTGGCGAGTGGGTCTGCCTCTGCAAGCAAGAACGTGTATGAGGGGTGGGTCTGCACTGGTGTAGTGTGTGGGGCCCCTGCATGGGGTGACTGAGTCCACTTCAGTGGGTCAGGGCACATGCATGGAACAGGACTGTGTTGACAGGGTGTGTGATCCTGTGGGTGGTGGGGTCTGTCAATTGCAGTAGACTTGTGCTTCTCAAACAGCCACATAAGGGATCAGCCCCACCTTCCTGAAACAAAGCCTGAAACAATTGGTGCTCCCAAGTCTGGGGCTAGCCCCACTCAGCTGCAACCCTGAGAGAGCTGACAACAGCTTTGTACGCCAGAGGGTTGCTGCAATTATAAGCCCCTGAGCCTAGCAACCAGCCATGCTGCAGGCCTACTCACTTAACAGAAAAACTGCCACAGGAATGTGCTATTAGACCTTGCAGCCAACTGTGCTGGGGCCCCCCATGCCCAATAAAGTGACTGAAAGAACCATAGCAGCCACACGCAGCTGAGCATTGCAACCAGCCGGCCAGGAGGACAGCCTAGGCTCCCAAACACCTGCAGCAAGAGCAACCCTGCCATAACAGAAGGAAACACATAGCCCACACAGGGGGCACTCCTGGAACATCTGAAACTGGTGATGAGAGAGAAGCACACTGCTGGGCCTCATAAGGCACCTCTTACATAAGCCCACCTCTCCAAGATCAGGACACGTAGCTGACCTACCTAATACATAGATATAAGCACAGAGAAAGATGCAAAATGAGGAGACAAGGGAATACTTTCCAAGTAAGGGAACAAGACAAAACCCCAGAAAAATAACTAAACAGAAATAAACAATCTACCTGAAAAACAGTACAAACTAATAGTCATAAGGATGCTCACTGACCTTGGGAGAAGAAAGGGTGAACTCAGTGAGAAATTCAATAAAGAATTGGAAAATATAAAAAAGAACCAATCAGAAATGAAGACTACAATATGGGAAATGAAAAATTCACTAGAGGGACTCAATAGCAGAGTAAACGATACAGAAGAACGGATCAGTGTGCTAGATGAAACCTTAGAGGAAATCATCCAAGCTGAACAGATAAAAGAAAAAATAATTAAAAATAACAGGGACAATTTAAGGGACTTCTGGGACAACATCAAGCACACTACCATCCATGTAATAAGTGTCCCAGAAGGAGTAGAGAGAGACAAAGGGGTGGAGAATTTATTTGAAGAAATAATAGCTGAAAACTTTCCTAACCTAAGGAAGGAAACAGACATCCACATACAGGAAGCACAGAGAGCACCAAACAAGATAAACCCAAAGAGGCCCACACCAAGACACATTATAATTAAAATGTCAACAATTAAAGATAAAGAGAGAACCCTACAAGCTGCAAGGTAAAGGCAAAAAGTTATATACAAAGGAAACACTATAAGGCTATCAGCTGACTTCTCAGCAGAAATCTTACAGGACAGAAGGGTGTGGCAAGATATATTTAAAGTGCTGAAAGGAAAAAACCTACAGCCAAGAATACTCTACCCGACAAGGTTATCATTTAGAATAGAGAGAGATAAAGTTTCCCAGACAAGCAAAAACTAAAGGAGTTTATCACCAAGAAACCAGCTTTACAAGAAATTCTAAGGGGACTTATTTAAGTGGAAAAGAGAAGAGCACAAATAGGAATGAGAAAATTATCAATAAAACAAACAAAAAATCACTGGTAAAGGCAAATATACAATAAAGGTAGCAGATCAACCACCTATGAAGCTAATATGAAGGTCAAAAGACAAAAGTACTAAAATTATCTATTTCCATGATAAGAGGGTAATGGATACATACACTCAAGAAAAGAGGTTAGATATGAACACGAAAACATAAAATGTGGACGGAGGGGAGTAAAAGAGTAGACCTTTTAGCAAGAGGTCATACTAAAGAGACCATCAACTTAATATAGGTTGCTATATACATAAGTTATTATACGAACCCCATGGTAATCACAAACCAGAAACCTATTTTAAATACACAGAAAATTAAGAGAAAGGAACCCAAACATAATACTAAAGAAAACCATCAAACCACAAGGGAAGAGAGCAGGGGAAGAAGAACAGAACAGAGAACTACTAAAACACCCAGAAAAAAAGTAACAAAATGGCAATCAGTACATTCTTTTCAATAGCTACTTTAAATGTCAATAGATTAAATGCTCCAATCAAAAGGCATAGGGTGGCCAATTGGATAAAAAAAAATAAGACCAAATCACCTCTAAAGACAAGCACAGACACAGAGTGAAAGGATGGAAGACAATACTCCAAGCTAATGGCAAACAAAAGAAAGC